AAAGTTGCCTCGGCTCGGGAACTTAGGTACGAGAGGGGAAGGTCATGAATTGAGCACCCCTGCTCGCCCGATCAAAGATTAGCCTCTACTAATCATGATATGATTTTTTATAACCATTATGTGTTCTTATTCCGGTTATTAAACTAGCTTTACTATGTGATGCGCACAAGCAAGTATAGACTAGTTTGCTCTATTTGGAACAATTCAACTCATGTTTGTTTACAAAAATGGTTAGAATTTGCCACCTCAAGTGGGCTTAAAAGTTTGCGGATTTGCCACCAAACATAGTGGGCTTAAAACATGATTTGCCACTCAACAAAGTGGGCTTAAAACTTACATTCGTTGAATTATTCCAATTCAAACAATAAGCCTTCATCCACAGGCATTCATACAGTTTAGCATTTAAGCACATAGCCTCATGGCAAGCATGCAAAACATGGCAACATTCACACTTATGCAAGTATGTTAAAGCGTAAGAACTCACTGAGTATTCTAAGCCAAAACAGAAACTAGTTAGAATATGCATGATCCTAACTATGTTAAGTGTCTAATGCAACACATGCAATAATGCAATTAATAGGTTCGGCTACTAATATGGCATATGGATTGATTTGAACATGTGATTAAACACGTATTCAAATAAGTATTGAAATAGCAATGCAGTTTGAATGATGTGCCGAGCCTCGGTGCATCCAAGACAAATGAATGGATACAAGCATGCGATATGTTAATTGAAATATGTCCCTAATCTAACCATCAAAAGCGATTTAAATAAAAGGAAGAAAGACATGGGGTTGGAATATATACACATATGCACGCATACTTATAACAACATTATGCCCTCGCGAAGGAGGGTCTGAATGAATAAGAGCCAACTAACTAGCTACGCTAATTAAGCTAACTAATTATTACGTACCAAATGAATAACTAGCTAAGCTAATTACTAATTATTACAATACTTTAACTAATTAGCAAACTAATTAATTAAATGACAAAACAAATGTACACAAACTAATCATGCAAGGCATTAAACTATGTTTCCACTATTCTGCCTCAGGAAATGGAAGATGCACATGCTCAGTTTTGGCCCGAAAAGACCTCCGTTTTGCTCTCGAAAGGTTCTGTTTGCAAGGTTGAGCACACTTCAGAACCTTTCTGCTCCACCTTACCAAATCTTTGCTGGGGTTTACACCAGCGGCCTGCTAGCCACGGAGGAATGCTGTCGGCCATCTATTGGCCAAAAGGGTGTACTATCGGCTAGAAATGAGGCACTGCCAGCCACTGATGCATTGGATCACCATGCCGTTACAGAGCATAATCAGAGCAAAAGAGGGTTTTTCCAAGGGTTTTCTGCACACCCTGTCTCTCCTCTTCATGGGGAAATCAATGAAGGGACAAGATTTGGTTCACAAAACCACCAATCAAGAAATTTCATTGCATGATGGCTTGTGAAACCAGTTGTGCAAGTTCAATAAATGCAAAAACAAGACTCAAATGGCCATCACCCCATCATGCATGATCAAGGGCAATGGAGACCTAGGAAAATAGCACATTTCATTACTATTGAGTATGAAATGCCCCATTTGCCTTGTGTTCAAATTAACATCCAATTTGAACACATGCAATGCAACACAAAGAGATGCTTATCTCGCCTCTTTTACTTGTCAATTTTGTTTACTCATTTTAATTACTGTGGGAGCCGAATATCGGTACTTGCAGGGAAGCCGAATAACGGGTCATGATGGTAATTAGGATATATATTATATTCGACTCTGTCATGTATGATCCCGAAGCCGAATGAACTACTCGGCCTTAGAGCTGGCTGAACAGAAAGCTGAATAGGAATTGGCACACGACAGAAGGGGTCGAATGAACAATCACGCGATGGGTTAAGAGTGGGCTTGACCATCGGGCCAAAAGCGAATATAAATAGAGGAACGTCAACCAAAGAGAGGTACGTGAGAAAAAACCCAAGAAACTTAAGACATAAGAAAATGAGAGACATATACTAACTAGTCCGTCAGAGTGCTAATTCCGGCACTCTCGACCTGAGTGTTAATCCCTTTTTCAGGTGGCATTCAGAGGATCAGGAGCGTCCTTCATGATCCAAGAGTATTTCCAAACCACTTCTCCACAATTGGCGCCGTCTGTGGGAATACTCAAGTACATCCATTGCGGGCGTAACGGAAGATCCTCCGATAGTCACTGACGAAACTACCCCAAGAGACGACCTCACTCCAAGAAACATGCTAGGATCGGAGAATATCGCCGTGTGATGTGCCTTGAACTTTGACTCAGTAGCTCAGACCTCACCCTCAACTTCAATGCATGAGGCAATGCAGACGATTATGGATCAGACAAAGCAAAATGAATAGCGGCTGGAGAACATGATGGCTAAGAATGAGCGCCTACGCCAGGATTTGGCTTTGGAGGTGGCGAAATCTCAATAAGCCATATGCCAAGACCAGGATCGACCTTCGGGAAAGAAAGATGGTCACCAACATCGACTTCAGAAACGCAATAATGATAGCGATTCAGACTCACCATCCCTGGAGCCCAGAAAGAAAGGGCGCGTTGATGTATCCAGCTCATCTGAAGGAAGTCCATATGTACGGCACAGACGAAGGAAAAGCGATGATTTGGATGAAGAAGATAAGCATGACCCATTCGTGCAATGAATTGCCAGGGCTATGCTACCCAAAAAGTTTAAAGCACCGTTGTTCACCCTTTACGACGAAAAATCAGACCCCACTAATCACATTCGTCATTACAAGCAAGCGATGACGCCCCATTCTGACAACGAAGCCCTTATGTGTCGGATATTTCCAAGCAGCCTGGGACCACTGGCCGTGAGGTGGCACTATAAACTGGAGCCGGCATCGATTAAGAGCTTCCACCAACTCCAAAAGTCATTCAGGGCGAGATTCATCACTAACGAGGTCCAACTGAAGCAAGACCAGTCTTTCTGGGCCATGCAAATTAAACCGGAAGAAACTCTTCGTGAATACTCGGCCCGCTATTGGAAGTGCTTTAATCTAGTAGATGGTGCTTGCAATGATTCCATGGCCATCACCACCTTTAAGAAGGGATTGCATCCTGATAGCCCCTTCCACAGTTCATTAACCAGGCGTCCCCCAAAACCGTCTGGGTATTAATGAAGAAGGTCGAAGAGTACTGCAAAGTGGAAGATGATGCCCTTCGAGTAAAAGTTGGACATAAAGCCGTTGAGATGGCCATGTCGGGAATTGTTCAGCCGATTAGCGCTGTGCCATCAAGAAGCCTTGAGCGGCGGAATTGACCTAATGAGACAAAAGACATGACTCACGCTGATCAAATGACCAATGTTCACATTGAGCTAATGAACAGTATCAAGTGGATAGTAGGCGAGCAAGGCGTTCGGGCAAGAAGTACACAGAGTTGACAGAGCCGATCAATAAGATTCTGTTGAAAATACAACACCTTCCGTTCTTCAAGTGGCTGCCTAAGATGACGGGACCTCCCGATGCGAGAAGACAAGATAAACGATGTGAGTATCATAAAGACAATGGTCACGACACCGACAGTTGTTATGCATTAAAAGATCACCTTTAAGAATTGGTGCAAGACGGCTGTCATATGCAATGCGTCTGAAGGAACAACTCAACAAACATAGTAGCTCTACGGCCGGAGTTACCTTCTCTTGGTGTAATTCATATGATTTATAGCTTGTCAGCGCCACTTGAGGTGCACACAACCCAGTTGCCATCTAGCACCCATAGCCCAATGACGCCAGCGAAGCGGCCATACGACGCTGAAAGGATTAGTTTCAATGACAGTGATTTAGCTAGAGTGATCCACCCCCACACAGATCCCCTCGTCATCGAGCTACGTGTAAACAGATTCACCATAGAGCGTGTTCTCGTTGACCAGGGAAGCACTTTGGAGATAATGTATTACAAGACTTTTGTCAAACTCGGTTTTACCGATTTGCACCTGTCTCCGGCTGATTACCTATTATTCGGCTTCAATGCCAACTCGGAGTACCCTTTAGGCAAGATCACACTACTTGTACGGGCTGGCACCAAATCAATAGACGTAGAATTTCTGGTTGTTAAGCTCCCTTCGCCGTATAATCTGATCATCGGCAGAACTTGGTTACATACGATGCAAGCCGTGCCAAGCCCTACCACCAACTGCTCCATTTTTTGACCGAATATGGTATCAAGCAAATTTGCGGCTCTCAGAAATCAACGCAGGCATGGTATCTTCTAGCTACAAAGAGATCGAGGGAACTGGAAGCACATTTAATTGGGGTACCAGATAGGGAGAGCCTCGAAGACATTGGGAGGATCCCAAGTGAGAAGGCAACCGAAGCCCTGTAACGGGTCAAAATTGACAAAAATCCTGGCAAGTTCTTCATGATCGGTGCTTCCTTGGATAACGTCGAAAGGCAGGAGTTGGTAGCCTTCTTACTCAACAATATTGATGTATTTGCATGGTCCCCATACAAGATGCCAGGAGTAGATGCATCAGTGGCCCAACACCGCTTGAACGTCGATCCGAAATGTAAGCCAATTATTCAGAGAAGTCGGCGGTCAACCATGGAGCATACTTCGGCGCTCGTTGAAGAAGTAGATCGGTTACTTGATGCCGGGGCGGTTCGTGAAGTAACTTATCCTACATAGTTGTCCAATACTGTGGTTGTAAAGAAGAAGAATGGCTCTTGGCGCGTATGTGTGGATTTTACGAACTTGAACAAAGCTTGTCCCAAGGATTGTTTTCCCTTGCCCAGAATAGACCAACTCGTAGATGCAACGACACATCATCAACGCATGAACTTCTTGGATGCTTATAGAGGCTATCATCAAATTGCCGTGCATTCGGAGGATCAAGAAAAAACCGCATTCCTCACCCCAAGAGGAACCTATTGCTGCAAGGTCATGCCTTTTGGACTGAATAATGCGGGGGCAACTTATCAAAGACTAGTAACTTCCATGTTCAAGGAACAAATCGGCCGTACCATGGCAGTATACATCGATGATATGGTGGTCAAAGCCATGGAAAAGCACTCCTATCTAGCCAATTTGTCAGAGACATTCGGCATTCTTCGAAAGTATAAGATGAAATTGAATGCTTCTAAGTGTGCATTCAATATCGGATCCGACAAATTCCATGGCTACATTGTTAACCACCGTGGAATCGAAGCTAATCCAGGGCAGATCATGGCAATTCTAGAGCTTGGATCCCCTCGGTCAGTCAAAGAGGTTCAGAAGCTAATGGGGATGGCCGCAGCGCTCAATAGGTTTATCAGTCGTTCCACAGATCACAGCTGACAATTCTTTCACACACTTCGACAAGGCAAAGCATTTGATTGGACTCGTGAGTGCCAGGCCGCTTTGGACGACCGGAAATCTTATCTCTGATCAGTACCACTCTTCGCAACACCTGCAGTCGATGATCCACTCATTTTGTATCTGGCAGTATCCGACCGAGCGTTCAGCGTCGTATTGTTAAAGGAAGAACTAGGGGAGTAGCGACCAGTTTACTATGTGAGCAAAGCTATGGCCGACGCCGAGACATGTTACCTTCCATTAGAAAAGCTTATCCTTGCTCTCGTCATGGCTACAAGAAAACTGATGCACTACTTTCAAGGGCATACCATTGGGGTGCCAACGGAATATCCCCTCCGGTCAGCGCTCCGCAGCGCGAAAGCGTTGGGGTGCATCTCGAAATAGGCTCTTGAACTCAGCCAGTATGATATCCAGTTTCTACCCAGAACTTCCATCAAATGACAGGTGCTTGCCGACTTTGTAGCCGAGTTCACAGGATCCCTGGCCAACTTTAAGTTTGGTCAAGTGCAAACTAAGCCCGACTGGAGAATGTATCTTGGCGACATTTGGCAGATGTATTGCGATGGGTCATCCAACCAGCGTGGCAGTGGGGCTGGCGTAGTAATTATGACCCCTGATGGGGCAATAAGCGAACAGTCCATCAAATTGGGATTCGACGCATCAAACAATGAGGCCGAATATGAAGCACTATTAACCGGCCTATGAAATGCACTTCAGCTCGGTGCGCGGCGTCTACTTGTTTTCTGTGATTCAAAGCTAGTAATCAACGAGTTGAAAGGGGAATACGCAGCCAAAAATGACCACATGGCAGCCTATATGAAAACAACAAATTCTTTACTAGCGAAATTTGATCATCACACTGAATCGAATAACCCGGGATCAGAACACGGATGTAGACGCCCTGGCTTGCCTAGCCTCTGCTATCAACTCAGAAATTAAGCGGACAATTGAAGTAGGGTTCGTCCCCGAGCCAAGCATTGCCTCTTCAGAACCAGTTTAGATCAACGTTATCGAACCAAGGCTGAGTTGGATGGACCCTATCGCAGCATTCCTATCTGCAGAGCAGCTCCCAATGGATAAGAAAGAAGCACACAAACTCCGAAACAAAGCGCTCCGATACTAATTGGATTCGCCGGGGAAGCTTTACAAAAAATCTCTCTCCGGGCCATACCTAGTGTGTGTTCACCCTGATAAAGTCAAGGAACTTTTGTTTGAAATATATGAAGGCAGTTGTGGTGCCTATTCAGGCGGATGTTCTCTGGCTCATCGTGCCGTATCGCAAGGGTACTATTGGCCGACCATGCGAACCGACGCCGAGTGTTATGTTAAGAAATGTGGTCAATGCCAGAAGTTTTTCCCTTTAACTCATCTGTTAGCCGATGAGTTAAATTCTATCAATAGCCCTTAGCCGTTCACTCAATGGGGGCTTGACATCGTTTGATCGTTACCACGGGCCCCGGGCAACAAGCCATTCCTAATTATTGCGACGGATTATTTCACAAAATAGGTCGAAGCGGAGGCACTAACACATATTTGATATTCCGTCGTTAAGCATTTTGTATGGAAAAACATCATAATAAGGTTCGGCATACCACGAGCACTTGTTTTTGACAACGGTACGCAGTTTCGTAGTGGCTTGTATCGAGAATTGTGCGACATTTATGGTATTCGGCCCTACTTTTCCTCACCGGCTTACCCCCAGAGCGATGGTCAAGCAGAGGCCACCAACAAGGTTATTTTGGACGGCATCAAGAAAAGGTTGGAGAAAGCTAAAGGTAGATGGGTCGAAGAGTTGCCTAGTGCGTTGTGGGCTCATCGCACTACTCCGAGGCGATCCACTGAGGAAACGCCGTTTGCTCTGGGCTTCGGAACCCAAGCAATCATCCCCCTGGAGATCGGCCTCCCAACCTTGAAATCGAAGGTTTTTGATATGGACCGAAATGACATGATGTTGGCCTTGGACTTGACTCTGATTAAAGAATGAACGCCGAGACCGTGCCCTTGCATGCATGGCACGGTACCAACAACAACTCGCTAAGTCGTATAACCAATGTGTTCAGATACGCCGTTATACACCAGGAGAATTGGTCCTCAAGAAAGTGCTTCCCGCTGCTAGGAATCTGGCTGACGAAAAATTGGGTCTTAACTGGGACAGCCCCTATCAGATTGATTCAATCGCAGGGACAGGGGCATATCGGCTCAAAGACATGGATAGAAGAAGCTTGCCATGTCCATGGAATTCCACACACTTGCGCAAATTTTATCATTAACTTGTACGGCACGACAGCTTGTTTTGATTTTATGTCGTCTATATCTTTCTTTTTTCAATACAATGTTCTCTCTTGCCCAGTGAGTACTGGTTGTGTAAGAAAGATTGGCCAACATTAAATTCCTTCGAATTCGGAGTGCCCATCATGAATGACGCGTTTGAGCCGAATAAGCCTCCGAATTCAGACCGCCCTTCGTGGAAATCACGATTGGCCAATACAAAAAGCCTCCAGATTCGGAGCGCCCTTCGTGAATGACACGTTTGGGCTGAATAAGCCTCCGAATTCAGAGCGCCCTTCGTGGAAATCATGATTGGCCAATACAAAAAGCCTCCGGATTCAAAGCGCCCATCGTGAGTGACACATTTGGGCCGAATATGCCTCCGAATTCGGAGCGCCCTTCGTGAAAATCACGTTTGGGCCGAATAAGCCTCTGAATTCAAAGCGCCCTTCGTGGAAATCATGATTGGCCAATACAAAAAGCCTCTGAATTCAGAGCGCCCTTCGTGAATGACACGCTTGGGCCGAATAAGTCTTCGAATTCGAAGCTCTTGTCGAGACTTTGATTGACAAGCACAAGCGGGATTGACATAAACTAGTAGACAACTTAATCTACAAGCATTGATCGAAATAAACATATGGACATTTCAAAATAAATTTTTTTATTTATTTAATAGATCATGTGTACATGCTTTACATGAAAACAGAACAATGTAAATCAAAATTATTCGGCTCCGTCCTCGTCATCAATCTTCTCGGCTTCGAAAGCCTCGAATGGAAAAGTATAACCTTGATACAAGGGTGACGTTGGATCAACGCCCACGGTCTGGAGCGCCTTGATCCATCCATTCTTAAATTCGTGATTTTCGCATCGACATACTTCTTTGGCTAGTTTTCCCTTGGTCATATCAATTCCAATTTTTCGGCCGTCGTGGAAGCCTTTTTCATAGGACCTGGCCTTCTCGGATTCTATCACAAACATGCTCTTCGTTTCTCGATCGGCATTTGCGTGATCCAAAATTCGGCGATTTACTCGCTCCGCAACAATCGAATTCACTTCACTAGCCGAATAAGTCTCAGAACTGTTATCTTTTTTCAACTCATTTTCGGCCTTCTCCGCGCGGGCTTGCAAGCTCTGAATGCAAGCATCCCTTTGCTCTATTTCCCTTCTCGCAGCACGAAGCCGCATGCTGATTTCATAAGCGGTGTACAAACCCTTTACTGCTCCATGAACGCCCTCTTGAAAAACTTCATAGTCAACCCAGCTGACCATGGACTGCTGAACTTCTGGCCAAAAAATCTGTCGAGCGAACTCGACTGCTACATTTGGGTCACAGATAATGGAATCTGTTTCCGTCATCGGTTTGTTCCCAACAAAAATTGAAAAACTCAACGGGCGCAGTGTCGCACTGGTTTCTCCTCTCGAGCGAGGGGAGTTATCTCGTTGCTGTTTTTCTTTTCTGGGTGACCTACTTCGATGATGGGGGGAATGGCATTTTTCACGCTCCCTTGACGTCCTAACCCCCTGCGAGTAGGCTCGCCACCTTGATTCATCTCTACGTCCAGTTCCGCCAGTGTTCTACCTTCTCCTTTGTTGTTGAAGAATAGTCTTCTTGCCATCCACAGTCGTCCACACTGCATTTTTCCTCTCCCAATTTGTTGGATTTAAACGCAACAATGGCACCACCACGCACACAGCCCCCATCTCCTTTATTCATTACGGGTGCAGCACTCCCGAGGCGCTCTCATCAATGCTTGCTTTGTAGGACTTGCACCGATAAGATCATGTGCCCAAGCTAATCCACAAACCACTGATATTCGGCGTTCCAATTCTTTCATTAGCTAGGGCAAGGGCAGATTCGTTAATCTAATCAGTTGAATTTCAAAGCCTTGCGCCGATTAGTTCACGTGCCCTAGCCAATCCATGAACCATCGATATTCGACGCTCCAGTTCATCCACTAACTGGGTCACGGGCATATTCATTAATTTACTCGTCAATTAGTTCATGTGCCCCAGCCAATCCATGAACCACCGATATTTGGCGTTGCAGTTCACTCATTAGCTAGGGCAAGGGCAAATTCATTAATCTAATCGGCTAAATTTCAAGGCCCTGCATCCATGAACCATCGATATTCGGCGCACCAGTTCATTCACTAACTGTCAAGGGCATATTCATTAATTTATTCACCGACTAGTTCATGTACCCCAACCAATCCATGAACCACCGATATTTGGCGTTGCAGTTCATTCATTAGCTAGCGTAAGGGCAGATTCGTTAATCTAATTGGCTAAATTTCAAGGCCTTGCGCCGATGAGTTCATGTGCCCCAGTAAATCCACGAACCACCGATATTCGGCGCTCCAGTTCATTAGCTGGGGCAAGGGCAGATTGGTTAGTTTATTTGGCTAAATTACAAAGAAATGTAGCTAGCTGACCGGTAGATATTTAATTGGATGTTTAATTTACTCATCTCATGATCTTACATCTTACTAGATTGTTAACTAGCACATGCAACAGACAGAAAAGCAAAGGAAATTTTCATTAATAAATTGAGTACAGATAGTAGTCATTTTACACATGAAAATTACTTTACATTTAACATCTAGCTGAAGTAAACAAACAAAAATCTACTAACAAAAACCCACAAAACCTATGCATGGAAGATGCCTAACAAAAACCAAAATGTCACCCTAGCCAATCTTCAGGGTAAGACTCCAGCGGCTCAACGTCCACCTGCTCGTATGGAATTGGCTGTGCCAATGTCACATTAGTAGCTGTGAGGGCTTTGAACCAGCCATGTTTGAAGCCCTGATTCTCGAACTTGGGTACTTCCTCCACATAGTTCTCCAAGGCGACGTTTTTCCTAGCTTGGAACACTTTGGAAATCTCAGAGTCGGCTATTTCCTTTGCCTTCTTCGACTCTTCCAAATTGGCTTCCAGCTTGGCAATCATGTGAGACCCCTAACTTTTGTAAACCTTATTAGGTCCCTAAATTTTGAGTTATTATAATAAAGCCCTTAATTCGTTGATTGTTCGCAAATTAAACCCTAGAACTGAAAACGCATCACGGACGAACCCATACAAACCCTAATCGACCCTAGAAGCTTAGAAATCATTTCTAACACTCTAATATTAATTATTTAACTCTCAAATTTTAGATTAATTGCTCTAAACCTTAACTTTCAGTTTTCACAATCTTCGTTCGGTTATTTACCTTTAAATTCAAAGCAAGATAATACAAACCGAATTATTTTTCCTAACACTAATTTATTAACTCTACACTTGAAATAGATACTTTAATTGAGCCCAAGCCCTCCCATTTTTATTAAATCACAAATTGAACCCAAACAAGTACCATTATATATTTATATATACCCTTGTACCCTAAAATCTTTTTTTACAGTTTCCAAGATTTGTACACAAAAATATATATATAT